CAAAATTGAGAGACCGTTACTACCCTTGCCTGTCCCACAGCCCTTACTGTCAGAGAACGTCCTTATGACGTTTAGGGCATGAATGCCCTCCAGGGGTCTAACTGAATAAAACTATTGGTGTGGGTGGGCAGTAAGCCCCGCCCATCATACTTGATCACACTATTCTGACTACTGACAATGTCTATCCAACTTTATGGACGGAACACCTATAAATATTATAATTGGTGGTGTGTGAAAGCCATGTGGCCCGCTAGGAAGTGTGCTGCTAGATTCTCCTTGCCAGTTCCAGTTCCCCCAACCCCCCCGCCCGGCATGGATCCCCCTGGCTCCAAGTGCCGCAGTTCCCCAGAGTCCCCCCACTGGCTCCAGTGGCCCCTGAGACCCACAGGGATCCAGAGGGGCGACTGAACTACCGCCTGAGGAGGAGGAACAGATGTCTTAGCCCGTTTGGGTGGCAGGCAAGGGCCATCCAGAAAGGGCTCCTGGGACCCCGAGGGGCCAAGAAGGGGAGCCTCCAGCCTTGTCGGGGAAGAGCCCTCCTTTCCCCTGGACCTGCAGGTGGGGCGCTTCTCCTAGCGCTGACTCCTGGGGTGACAAAGGAAACTGGTCCAGAGGTCAAACTCCCCTGAGGGAACCCTCCACTTTGGAGGGGATAAAAGCCCTTATTATTGTTATTCACCTTTGGCCTCAGAGACAGAGAGGGCCTTGCCCTCCTCGCCCTCTTCGCCTGTCCTGGCGCAGAACCTGCAGATCCCCAAGGCCACTTGTCTGGCATGTCCAATGGAGAGGCCTCCTCCGTTGGGCCAATGTTATAAGAAAAAACTGCTCCTTTTCCCTTATGGGGTATCTAAGAGCCCATAGAGTCCTTTTGTAGGTTCTCTTCCGGTAGGAGAAAACAACAGAGACCAACCAGAGAATTTTTTTAAAAAATATATTTTTATTAAAGATAATAAATGTCTCGTATTTTTCCCCCATGTAACATTTTTACAAATCGGTTTCATTTATTGAGACATTAGGAATAAAAGGGAGAAAGGGGTGAGGGGGAGATGGGGGGGTCGGGCGGCGATGTTTCTATTTTACTTACTATATGTAGGGTTTGGTGTCAGCCTTGCTTGTGCAGGTTCTTTGCTGTTCACTTGTGTTCCTTTGGTGGTGAGAGGGGTTGGGGTTGGCCTAGGGTGTGTGTTGTTCATTTGTGGTTGGCTGTGGTGGTCTTTGTTTTCATGGGTGAGTGGGGTGGGTGGGTGTTTTGGATCAGGTTAGCCATATTGATTTGTATGCTGTTGGTGGGTTTTGTCATTGTCTTGTTGGGCTGTGTGTGATAAAGGGGAGCTATACCAGGGTGATGGCGTCTTCTTCTATTTGTCCTGTGTCAGTTTCAGTTTATTGGTTAATTTTTCTAGTAAGGCTGTTCCCATACTATTTGGTACCATTGGTCCATGCTTACTCCTGACAGGTCTCTCCAGTGTCTGGTTATGATGTTTCTGGCTGCTGAAAGTAGGTGGTTATGAGTTCTTTATGTGTAAGTGGTCATTATTGTCTTGGAGTTTTTTGGATCCTGTTTGTAGTGTGATGAGAGGGCAGTGATGTCTTATTCTATTTTGCTAATTTTTGAGGAGGTTTGTTTTTTAAGGAATGCTTTCTCTTTTATGCAAGCTCCTCTGGTGACTGCTTTCATTGCATCCCATAAGAGGTGGGTTGTTATAGTGTTTCATCGTTTTCTTTGAAGTATAGTTTTGTGAGACTCTCTCTAATTTGTTTGTTTGTAGTTAGGATGGGACTGAAGGACCATGATGGGGTGGTTTGTGTTCCTTCTCCTATTTTAACAGTGACTTCTACTGGGGCGTGATCTGTGATTTTAATGTTACCTATGTTTGTTGATTCTACTGAGGGAATCAGACCCTGTGTGAGTAGAATGCTGTCCAGTCTGGACACTGTATCATGGCGTCCCGATTGGAATGTATGGCTGATGTCTCCCGGGTTTTGCTCACCCCAAATGTCATAGAGACCCCTGTTTTTTAGCATTTTTAGTAACTTGTAAGAGTTCCTAGTTGTTGGGGGTTTCCTTCGGAGGAAGGTTGCCCATGGGGTTGTGGGGTGGATATCTTTCAGGGATATACCTTTCATATTTAGATTGAGGTCCCCTCCTAGGATTGCTTCCCCTTCAGAGAAGGAGAGGAATTTGTTTAGTGTCTTCTGGAAGAATCCTAGTTGTTTTGAGTTTGGGGCATATATGGAGCCGATTGTCAGTTTAATTTTGCCATCTAATGTCCCTTTAGCGAAAATGAATCTGCCTCTTTTGTCCTTTAGGACTGTTGTGGCGTTGAAGTTCAGGTCTCTACTGAGTATTATAGCTTACTCTGCAGGCCTTCCCTGAGTCAGGTGCAACCCATTGTTGACTGAAGCGAGGGTCCTTCAGGAGTTTGCTCCTTTTGGGTGGGTTGTGTATTTCTTGTAGGAAGGTGATGTGTGGTTTCATGGTATTTATGTATGAAGTGATGCATTTTCTTTTGATGGGGTTTCCCAACCCCGTCACATTTAATGTAATTGCTTTTTACATTAGCCATCTTGCTGATCTATTATGTGGGGCGATTCCCTGCCAGCCCATCCAGGTTGTCCTGTGTCTCTCACTTCATGTTGTTTAACGAACCAGTGGGGTTGTGCTGACCTAGAGTGTGGTGGGTGGGGGACTAGTGGGATTAGAGTTAGATTTGGGTTAAAGAGTAGGGGGTAGGTTGTAGAGAATTTCCTATATGTAGTCATATAGGTGTTTGTTTGGGGTATTTTGGGCCATCTGGCATTTAGCCAGTTGGTCCTAGGTCTCAGCTAGTGTGGAAGGCCATGTTCAGGGACAGGCCATCCCCCCGTCATTTGCGATAGGGGGTGATCAGTGAGATGGTGTGAAGCATCTTTGTGACGCCAACGTCGGGTATAGGGTTCATAAGCAATGTTGGCAATGTTATTAGCAACATTGTTGGTATGTTGGGGTGGGGATGTGGTACGCTCTGGCGCCACCATTGTGCTGGTTGGGTATCAGATTTTAGCCTGTTTGTGGGTTGTGTTGTTTAAGGTTGGAGGAGTTGTTTTTCCTTAGTATGGGGTAGGGGGATGCTGAAGGTGTAGGTTATGGGTTGTTGGGTGATGGGGAATGTGGTTTGAGGTCATCTGGACTGGTGTTGGGGTGGGGATTTCTGTGGAGGTGGGGGGGCTAGGGGGATGTTGATGGAGTTAACTATGGTCGGGGGGAGAGGAGAGAGGAGGGGAAAGGAGTGGGGAGAATCACCAGTCCTTCAGTTTGTGTCCCCCCCCCCCCCCCGATTGCTTCATTCAGCTGGGGTTGTTGTAGGGTTGTCCATCTGTGATGAGTTGGTTTGGTTAATCTTGGTGTGGTTTCTTGTGTCCTATGGCCGGCAGGATGATTCTGTGTGTGGTGCTTGACTGTATTGGTTTGCATTGTCATGCCGCTTCTGTTGTTTCTTTTTCTTCTTTACTGTTGTCCAATTGCTTGCTGTTGTTTCGTCATGGTTGTGGCTGTCACTTGGTGAGTTTGCGGTTGCCATTCCGGTGGAAGGTTGAGTTGCATTAGTTGCAGGGCTTCAGGTATGTTGGTGGCTGTTTGGTGTGTGGGGTGGGTTTCATTGAGAGTGGAGCTCTTACAATACATCAACAAACTCATACATTTAGATGTAAGGATTGTGGGAGGTGCTTCAGTGAGAATGGATCTAGAAGACATCAGCAAACTCACAGAGAAGCAACAATTTGTATGGAAGGGTAAACACCTGCAGGCTCTCACAGGGAAGAAACCATTGAGATGTATGGAGTGTGCCATGTTTTTCCCCACAGAGTTCACTTTGTCTCTCATATCAACAAGCTCATATATGGAAAAATCAATTGTAAATGCATGCAGTGCATTCGATGTTCTGGTGTTTGTATTGAACGTTGTACATATATGTATTAAAGCAATGAAGGTTATGTCTCATAATAGTAAGTATAATGAAAGGTATAATGTACTGTTAGGGATGTTCAGAACGTGACTCAGGAGTGCTCCTTGTGAGTGAACATGGGCTGAGAGTCCGTTGATATTTGGTCTTTGGCAGAGAGAGTTGAGAATGGAGAGTTATGAAAAGTAGAACACAACAGTGGTGTTTAGGAAGCAGGATTGGCTCTGGAATCATAGACCTGTAGAGTTGAAAGGGACTTTGGTCTTCTAGTGCAACTCCCTCTTATAAGAACAGCAGCATAAAGCCCATTTTTATACTTGCAACAAAGGAACAATGAAAACGCAAAAAGACTGAAACACATAGTCCTATGTGCACAAAGTAATCCTTAAACTATCCTACGTTGTTTATGTTTTATAAATTCATTGTTTTACCTTACCTTCTCATTCATGGCTACATTAACGGCAAAGGGGATAAAATCCCTGGTGGCAGCCAGAATAAAGGAGGTGTTGAGGGCAACAACCAATATGGGGAGGGAAGGTGGCACAGGGAAATATGGGCGTCACCAGTGATTTCAGGAGAGTCATTTCCCTGAGGAGAGAGGAATCTCTGCCCCCGTAATTGGCCCATCTTTCAGAAATCTGTAGAAAGAGCAGGCAGTATAGGAGGCTGAAAGCAGAGCTCATTTGGAGCTGCTCCTCCATCTGCCGGCATTGAGCATTTGCCCATGACATGAAGCAGCCACAGCAGGTCCTGGAAGCTGCCCACAGTTGGACTTCACCCCCAAAGGCCCCCTCCTCCATCGCCTCCCCAGACAGACGGATGCCAACAGGGTCTCTCTGCCTGAGGAGGATTTCACCTGGGACCTGCTGCATGCAAAGCAGACCTTAAAATAAATAAATCATTTTTTTTCAAATAATAGCTTTGTCCACTGCCATAATATTACAGAATGACCACTCCAATCCTCAGTCCCATGGAGCGAAGACTCTTTCTGCTTTCCCCTCCCCCCATCCTTTCCTCCCCCCCCTCCCTTCTCGTGGTCAATTGCGTAACTTTACACCCCCTCTTTATCATTGCACCCAGAGCCAACCCATTTCCCACCCCCCCTTTTGGCTCCCTGGTGTGGGGAGGAGACCACTGTGAATTATTAATATCTGCAGCAGAAGTTCTCTCTCTGACCAATAAATTTCCAGCCCCACAACTAGGTTTTAAAACTTTGTTTGCTCGGAATGGGTTCAAACATTACAAAAAAGCAAAAAAAGACATTGCCTCAGTTATCCATTTCCCAGAGAGGCTGGGGTAACTCAGCCTGATGCTCAGCATATAAATATTAAATAATAATAAAAATTGTTGTTGTTGATAATGATGTTGTTATTTTATAAAGGTCCCAGTACATTGGTACCTCGGGTTAAGAACTTTATCCGTTCTGGTGGTCCGTTCTTAACCTGAAACTGATCTTAACCTGAGGTACCACTTTAGCTAATGGGGCCTCCTGCTGCTGCCACACAGCTGGAGCACGATTTCTGTTCTCATCCTGAAGCAAAGTTCTTAACCCGAGGTACTATTTCTCGGTTAGCGGAGTCTGTAACCTGAAGCATATGTAACCTGAAGCGTCTGTAACCCGAGGTACCACTGTATAAGGAATCTTCTGCCCAACACAAATGTCAAGAGTGTCATTCTCTACCTGCTTAGTTATCCCAGTCTAGAAGATATCTTTGCCCCAAACCAGCTTTTCCAGCAAAAAATTAAACAACCACCTCTAACCCACCCCAACCCCACCCAATCGTCTCTTTCTGGCTTGCTTGCATCTTGGGCAACACCCGGGGAGATCTGAGTCTGTTTGCAACTTCAGGCTCTGAATGGGGTGGACTGCTTCATTGACATGAAAAGGTAAAGGGACCCCTGACTATGGCCGACTCTGGGGTTGCAGCGCTCATTTCGCTTTACTGGCCGAGGAAGCCGGCATACAGCTTCCGGGTCATGTGGCTGGCATGACTAAGCCGCTTCTGGAGAACCAGAGCAACGCACAGAAACACTGTTTACCTTCCCGCCGGAGCGGTATCTATTTATCTACTTGCAGCCTCCTGCGGCCAATCGAAAGCTGTGGAAGCCCCGTGGGACAAGAACTTTCGAAAACCCAGAACACTCACTTCTGGTTTTTAATTGTTCCCAAGGTGTTCAGGAGCCGAGGTATGACTGTAGTTGTAGCTCAACACACTATACACCTGGGTTGCAATATCTTATAGGTAATCCCATTTGACTTTATGATATCAGGATTTCCTCACAAGGAGTCTCTGTCATGGACAATCAGCACAAATCACGTGAAAGTGCTTCTCAAATGTGATGCATTAAAATATTATTATAATAATAATAATAATAATAATAATAATAATAATAATAATAAATAAAAATACATTCATTCATACATACATACATAAATTATTATTTATACCCTGCCCATCTGGCTCGGTCTCCCCAAACCACCCTGGGCGGCTTCCAACAAAGTATTAAAATACAGTGGTCTGTTAAACATTAAAAGCTTCCCTAAAGATGTCTTCTAAAAGTCTGGTAGTTGTTTTTCTCTTTGACATCTGGTGGGAGGGAGTTCCACAGGGCGGGCGCCCTGTGGAAAATACAGAGGTGAAATCCTGATTCTTCTAGAAACTGCAGAGCATGAAGTCTCACCAAACTAAGGGAAGTTCTTTTTCTTTAGAATATGACAGCAGTAGAGTATAAAGGGGCAAGCTAGTGTTCCCCACATAATTTTCATCGTTCCTGTTTTTCTGTTTGTTCTGGATCCTATAACCTCGATACCAGATTCATAGAATCGTAGAATTGTAGAGCTGGCAGGGATTGCCAAGGGTCATCCAGTAGACCCCGCTGCAATGCAGAAATCTTTTGCATACTCTACCAGCAGACCTGTGTTGCAGCTTCAGTTCCCGTCAGCCCCAGTCAGGCCAAGTTGTCAAGGATGATGGGAGATGATGAAGTCCATTTGACATCTGACAGAGGCCTGCGCATTTCCTTCAGGCAAGCAAGAGAAGTTATCACAGTGCAATGAAACATTCCAGCCAGGGGCATGCCCTGGAGAGGTATCCTGAGAACTATAGTTTACCAACAACAGAACTACATTTCCCAGCACCCTGAGCAAACTGCAGTTGTCAGTATTCATTGGGGGGGGAGTGCTTTGAAAATATTGTGTGAATGCAATCCAGCTAGGGCTGGGCCACAGCTTATTCTCAACATCGCAATATATCAGGCAGCTAAACATTGTGGCATTTCAATATATAGTCGTACCTTAGATCTCAAATTTAATCCATTCTGGGAGTCCGTTCAACTTCCGAAACAGTTCGAAAACCAAGGTGCAGCTTCTGATTGGCTGCAGGAGCTTCCTGCAGCCAATCGGAAGCCGCGGAAGCTGTGTCAGACGTTTGGCTTCCAAAAAGTTTACAAAGCGGAACACTCACTTCCAGGTTTGCGACATTCAGGAGCCTAAAGCATTCAGGAACCAAGGTATGACTGTATTACAATATCTGAAATAAGGCTGGGGCTATGTAGAGCTAAACATGCTAATGACCTGGCAACTGCTAATACTTACGGGTCTAACTTTAAAACTGGTAAATTTTTGCTAACCTTTAAATTTTGTTACAACTCTTGTGTTATGGAACTACCATACCAGTAATGTTTGAATTAGCACATTTTCTCTAAAATTAAAGCTGTAGAAATAATCAGCAGCATAGATATAAAAAGGTGAGGTGAGATAATGTTCCCTAAAAATTTAATTACATTACTAAACAAGAAAAAAGCCAATTCAACATCACACTTTAAGATATTCAAATATAATTAACTATTGAGTCTTAATTGAACGTGTGTACATCCCACCAGTTATCTGATTGTTAGCTAATTTTCTTTTCTAAACTAGGCCAAAATAGAAAGAAGGGAAGGGATAAATTTTAACAGAACAAAAGTTTGTTAAACAATATTTTTATTGCCAAAAATGTGCATTTTTTTTAAATAAACCAGGCCAAACCAGAAAGAATGATTAAAATTTTACAGAAAAAAATATTAATCTATCTATCTAGATAGGAAAATTTTCGTTTCTTTTACAAACCAGGCCAAACTAATAAGAATAGATAAAACATTTCACAGAACAAAAAATATATATTAAACAATATATATATATTTTTGCAAGGAAAATGTGCATTTCTTTTATAAACCAGGCCAAACGAGAAAGGATGGATAAAATTTCACAGAACAAAAAAAAAATTACATGAAATCTATGTTTTTTGCAAGGAAAATTTGCATTTCAGCATTCTCTGGCAATAGAGATGACCTTTGTCTTTGAAAAACATTGCCAGCCGTGCTGAACACACTTTCAGATGGCACACTTGTCCCTGGGATAGCCAAAAACTTCTTTGCCAGCACCTTCAACACTGGGAAGGAAGCCTCGTGTGCCTTCCACCACGTCAGAGGGCATCCATCAATGTCCACTCTTGGCATGGCTATATACTCCTTTAGCTCTTTTTCTGCTTTCGACTCACCATCTGCCACTGCCAGGTCCTCCTCTTCTTCCTCCAAGTCAAAAATTTTCGCCAGCCCCTTTTTCTTTTTGGGTGGAGCAGGGCAAGTATTTGGCTCCGTAGAAGCAGAATGCAGACTCCCATGCAAGTCTGTCATCTTCTTGATGGCCTCCTGCCTGACGGCCTCTGGCGCCTCTAAGAAACGCAGGCGAAACCTCGGGTCGCACAACGAGGCCAGGCCTAAAGTGGTTGCCGTGGGAGCGCTATCGTACTTTTCTGACAGTGCCCCTAAAATTGCACGTTTAATGTCCTTCAGCAGCACACTGTCTCCCTCATCAGCCTGGAGGCTTTTCTTAATTTGCCTATAAAGAGGCAGAATGGTTGATGCTGTGACATAATTGCTTCCACTTAGAGTTGTGGTGATATCCTCTAGTAGAGTAGTTGCACGGACAAAGTCCTGCACAGCTGAGACGTCACCCCCTTCCAACATCAAAAGTCCTTTAGATGGATGCTCCGTGAGTACCTTGCAGAGTGGAACTTGGTTTTCGAGAAACCTTTGGCACAGCTGAAGCGTACTCCACCATCTTGTGGGACAAGCACTTGGCAAACTGACTTGGTCCATCTGAAGTAGCTCTTGAGCTCTGGCGAGGTCCCTCTTCATCTTCCAGCTGCAGCAAATGCTATTTTGCAGACCCTTCAGTTTCCCAATTGCCCTTTTCAACGGTGTCAGGCTTAAAGCTCGGTTAACCCCGATATTTATATTCTGGGCAAAGCAGGAAATGTGCTCGAAACCAAGCTGCCTGACCGCTTTCAGAATATTTGAGCCGTTGTCCGTTGTGCTGCAAAATATCTTCTTCACATCGATGTCCCACTCCGAGAAGGTGTCTGTGAGCATTTCACAAAGGTGATCTGGGTTGTGGTCCTCCAAAAAATGCTTACAGGCCAAGCAAGCACTTGTCAACTTCCACTCGTCGGAAATGAAATGTACCGTCACGGCCACAAAGGGAGTGCCTGCCACTGACGTCCAGCTGTCCGTAGTGATGGCCACTTCACTCTCACTTTGCCGCTGTATTTCTCTCTTCATTTTCTCCACCGTGTCACTGTACAGTTTTGGAACTCCCGTGGTTGTGAAGTATTTCCTACTAGGCAACCGATACCTCGGGTTTAGAGTGTTCACCATCTGGATAAATTTTGGGTGCTCTACAGTGTTGTAAGGCTGCATACACGTAGCCAGAAACTGCGCGACTGCCTGAGTGCAAGTCCTTGAGGTCTTAGAAGGGAGCAGCTGGGAATCCAATGCTGTTTTCTGCTGTCCTCTAGAACTTTCCCTAGCAGTTCTTGCCGGCTCAGCAGCCCTAGCTGTTGACGGCGTTACAGCTGGAGGATCGTCCGAATTAGCACCAGTACGTGAAGAAACGGAAACGCCTCTTGATGAGGAAGGTACTGCCACGGGTGTGGACAACTCCCTGAATTTCAGAGGGTGGTGAAACTTGAGGTGGCTGCTTAGATTGGAGGTGTTTCCGCCTTTTGCTGATACCGAATGCAAACATATTTTGCAAATGGCGCCATTGTCAGTCAAAACACGGCCGCTCTCATCGGCAGGCAATCCAAAATGCATCCAGACAGCGCTCTTGGTTTTTCGTTTTTCTACCAAATGGTGGTATTTGGGAACTTCTACAGCACGGTGATGACGAGGCATACTGAAGACAAATAACCTGGGGAAACATTGAACAACAATAAAACTCTTAATTTTGATGTATTTAATTGTATGGAAATTTACTCAATGATAGCATAACAGCAACAACAACAACAACATCAATCATTTTATTATTTATACCCTGCCCTTCTGGCTGGGTTTGCCCAGCCACTTTGGGCTGCTTCCAGCAAATATAAAACATAATAAAATATCAAACATCAAAAACTTCCATAAACAGGGCTGCCTTCAGATGTCTTCTAAAAGTTATGTAGTTCTTCATTTTCTTGACATCTGATGGGAGGGTGTTCCACAGGGCGGGCGCCACTACCGAGAAGGTCCTCTGCCTGGTTCCCTGCAACTTCGCTTCTCGCAGTGAGGGAACCAGCAGAAGACCCTCGGAGGTGGACCTCAGTGTCTGGGCTGAATGGTGGGGGTGGAGACACTCCTTCAGGTATACTGGACTGAGGCCATTTAGGGCTTTAAAGGTTAGCACCAACACTTGTGAATGTGCACAGAAACATACTGGGAGCCAGTGAAGATCCTTTAGGACCGGTGCTGTATCGTCTCGGCGGCCACTCCCAGTCACCAGTCCAGCTGCCACATTCTGGATTAATTGTAGATTCTGAATCACCTTCAAAGGTAGCCCCACATAGAGTACACTGCAGTAGTCCAAGCAGGAGATAACCAGGGCATGCACCACTCTGGCAAGACAGTCTAAGGCAGTGTTTCCCAACCGGTGTTCCGCGGCACACTAGTGTGCCGCGAGACGTTGCCTGGTGTGCCGCGAGATGTTGCCTGGAGGGAGGCGGGCGAGTCGGGCGGCGAGAGGCGGGGCGGCGGCGGCGAGGAGAGGCCGCCCAGCGCGGGGCTCTCGCCGTCTGCCTGCCTGGCTGCCTGCGTGGCGCTGACGTCACGGGGCTGTAACGTGCCCCACATAGGCACACGCGGGGCGGTGAGCGAGCTCCCTCCCACATCCCATCGCCGCTCGCTTCGGCCGGCCTACTGGGCTGTCGCAGGCGGAAGGCCTGCGCATGCGCGAGGTTTTCGCGCTTTCGGGATTCCCTTCACGCCTTCCTCCTCCCGGGTCCTTGGGAGCGTGGGAAGCGGCAGCGTGAGACCGGCGTTGAGCCTGGTAGGTATTGCGCTTGCCAAGGCAGTCATTTGGGAATTGAAAACTTGCAAAGCAAGCAACCAGTTCAATCTGAAGTACGTGTATGCTTAATATCCTGTATCTGAAACCTGTTCTGCCCCCTCCCCCACACTTGGTGCCATTTTCATCTACACATGCAGCAGAGTAAGTTGACCCAGAATAGTACCAATTCAGATGGCAGATGGGAGAATGACAGTGCTGAATGCTTTCCCATGTAGAACAGTCCCTGCAAATAAAAACCTAGCATATTTGGAAGAGGGATGCTAGCCTAACCATTACCTTCTATGCTGTTACTATTTTTTATTTTTTTTTACATAAGTAAAAAGTGACCTTTCCCCATCTGGCATGGTGGTGTGCCTCGAGATTTTTTTCATGAAACAAGTGTGCCTTTGCCCAAAAAAGGTTGGGAAACACTGGTCTAAGGCAGGTAGGATCTCAGCCTGTGCACCAGATGGAGCGGCTAGACAGCTGCCCTGGACACAGAATGGACCTGCACCTCCATGGACAGCTGTGAGCCCAAAATGACTCCCAGGCTGCACACTTGGTCCTTCAGTGGCACAGATACCCCAGTCAGGACCAGGGAGTCCCCCCATACCTGCCCACCCCCCGTTTCCCCAAAACAATACTTCTGTCTTGTCAGGATTCAACCTCAATCTGTTAGCTACCATGCGTCCTCCAACCGCCTCTAGACACTCACGCAGGACCTTCACCGCCTTCACTGGTTCCGATTTAAAAGAGAGGTAGAGCATGCTTCAACTATACCATTACAGATTTCAGAGCAATAGATCAATGTTAATATATTAATTTGTTATTAATATTATATTAATTTCTTTACAACAAATGTAAAAGGTTAAAAGTAAAGGACCCCTGGACGGTCAAGTCCAGTCAAAGGCGACTATGGGTTTGTAGTGCTCATCTCGCTTTTCAGGCTGAGGAAGCAGGCATTTCTCCGCAGACAGCTTTCTGTTGTCATGTGGCCAGCAGGACTAAACCGCTTCTGGCGCAACAGGACACCATGACGGAAGCCAGAGCGCAAGGAAACACCGTTTACCTTCCCGCAGCCGCGGTACCTATTTATCTGCTCGCACTTGTGTGCTTTCGAACTGCTAGGTTGGCAGGAACCAATGCATGAACAAAATGGTTGTGGGGAGAACTGAGAAGAGTTCTAGGGCAGGGAGCGGCACTGGAGGAGAAAATGGGCAGCATAATGAGAGGGAGGGGAGAGACACAGATGGGGGGAGGGAAGAGCAGTGTCTCAAACGCAGAGCCGAGTCTCTCTCTCCTTTTAACTATGAAAAACATTCTAGCAGCAGTGACGGTGAGCGCCCACGGTGAACGCAGCACAGCGAAGGGGCTGGATCTGTCGGCTTAGTTAATAATAAAACCGGTGAGGCAGAGGGCTGCTTCCTTCGCAGAAGCAAACCCGGGGAGGGGAGAGAGAGAGAGAGAGAGAGAGAGAGACAGGGGGACAAACACACAGAGAGACGGGGCAGAGGAAGAGGTTAAAACGGGGGCTTTGTTTATTCATGGTTTTAGGGGAGAAATGGGTTCCGGAAGCCAGGACTTGTAAAGAGCCAGCCCTGACCAGCCTTCTTAAGCAACCTACCAGATTTGCTGCAGAGAGATTCCGATTTTTTCTTTTGCCAGCTTCTCTCTCTCTCTCTCTCAAGCTGCAGCAGCAGCTGCTGGGGGCGAGGCAGCCTGGAGGCGGAGGAAACGCTGCGCTTGGTTGCTCCATCCTATCAGCCAGCGCTCCGGATTCGCAGGGAGGAGCCTAGGCGGAGTTAGCGAGGGCTGCCCAGCAGGAAGCATACAGCTTTTCCAATACCGGGCTTGATGCACGATAATTTGCCAGGTCTTTATATAGAGAGAGATAGATATATAAGGTTATCACGATTTTTTTCTAAATATCGGTTTTAAACAATGTGTTGCTATGTATTGCACAGGCCTAAACCCGACACACACAAAACCACCTCTGTCATCGTCGTCCCCCTCCGCCCACTGCCCAAGCCTCCTGTATCACCTGGCAGCCTGGGTGGATTTCCTGGGTTGACGACTGATGCAACGTCCTTTTCCCCAGGGAAGCTTTTAATATTTAATGCTGTGTTGTTTTTAACATTCGATAGGAAGCCGCCCAGAGTGCCTGGGGAAACTCAGCCAGATGGGCAGGGTGTAAATAAATTATTATTATTATTATTATTATTATTATTATTATTATTATTATTATTATTATTATTATTATTATTCTCCAGAGTCTTATCAGCTGGTGCAAAGCAGTGTATTCCACGTATTGGGAGGTTGTGTAAACCGCTCAGGGGGCCTGTGAAGGAAAAAAGTCAGGACCCACCAGTGGGTGCACAGAGTCTCCTCCCTCCTCCTTTCCCAGCCCCGAAATGCCAGGGGTTTGAGACCAAGGTGGGGGGCTGTGGGCTTTGTGTAGGCGCCATCACTGCAGGGGGCGGGGGAGACGTAAAGTTTGGCTGACAATGGTTTTGTGGACATCCATTGTGCTCCTCTGTGTGTGGAGGGGATACAAGGAGGTTTCCCTCAGACCAGGGTTCAACCTTGAGGTTATCCAGTGCCTTTTCTTCTGGGGGGGGAACATACCCCTAAACATTTTGTGAATCTAAGTTTGGCCTCATTGAGGGGCAGTATTCAATATGAGTAGGAAAATTAGGTAAAGGTAAATGGACCCCTGACCATTAGGTCCAGTCCTGACCGACTCTGGGGTTGCGGTGCTCATCTCGCTTTATTGGCCAAGGGAGCCGGCGTACAGCTTCTGGGTCATGTGGCCAGCATGACTAAGCCGCTTCTGGCGAACCAGAGCAGTGCACGGAAACGCCGTTTACCTTCCCGCCAGAGCGGTACCTATTTATCTACTTGCACTTTGACGTGCTTTTGAACTGCTAGGTTGGCAGGAGCAGGGACCAAGCAACAGGAGCTCATCCCATTGCGGGGATTCGAACCACTGACCTTTTGATCAGCAAGTCCTAGGCTCTGTGGTTTAACCCACGTCCCCATGTAGGAAAATTAGAATACCCCTAAACGTATTTTTTTTAGAAAAAAAACACTGAGGTTATCTATATCCTCTGCTCTTTTAAAATGTGGGGTTTATTTTGATTTTGGATTTTGTGGTTTCATATTTTGATTTTTATCTATAAACCACCCTGAGACCTGCGGGTATAGGGCGGTATATAAATTCAGTTATTGTTGTCATTATCAATAATAATAATAATAATAATAATAATATCCAGGAAAAAGCTAAATGATTGCTTTGCACTGCAGGAAATAGGCTAGAGCCAAATGCATGAGCTAAGCTTTGCAGGGGGAAAGTAATAAACTACTTGGGCAAAGGAATTGAGGAGATTATCCTCAAATTTGCAGAGGACACCAAACTAGGAGGAGTAGCTAAAGCCGCAGAAGACACAATTGGGATTCAGGGTGACCTTAACAGATTGGAGAACTGGACCACAACTAACAATGTGAATTTCAACAGGGGCAAATCCTATATAAGATTTGGGGAGGGGACGACGATGACACCTGCCTTCCCTGTAGTACCATGTGAAAAGGATTTAGGTGTCTTAGTGAAGGAGTTTGTAAATAAACGCAAGAGTGAGTTTTTCTCTTTGTAAACTGACTTTTGGTGAGAAATAAATTTCTGCAGTCCCCCCCAAAATGAGAGAGGTAGCTACCCTTCCCCTGTCCCAACAGCCCTTACTGTCAGAACGTCCTTCTGAGGTTTAGGGACATGATGCCCCTCAGGGGTGCCAACTTGAATAAAATATTGGGGTGGTGGGCAGGTAAGCCCCGCCCTGCATAATTGATCACACTATTTGAATGACAATGTCTATCAACTTTATGGGGACGGACACCCTAAAATATTATATTGGGGGTGTGTGAAGACCCCATGGGCCCCTAGGAGTTGGCTCTTAGGATGTCCCTTTGCCAGTTCCAGTTCCCCAACCCCCTCCCACGGCAGGGATCCCTCCTGGCTCTGCAAGTGCCGCGAAGTGCGCCCGTGTTGCAGCTGGCCGGTCCCTTTTGGCTGAAGAGACTTGAGAGAAGGAGTCCACGAAGGGGTTAAAGGAAGCGAGAGAGGACTGGATGCCTTGAAAGGCCTGGAAAGGGCCACTCCCTTTGTCCGTCCCCGTCCCCCCCATCTGCCCTCCCTTCTCCGCTCGTCTAGGGTGGTCCCTCCAGATGGAGAGGTTGGTGCGCTCGGGAGAAATGCGGCACGGAGAGCGAGGGGTGAGCTGTGCCAAGGGGGGGGGCTCTGGGCGCAGGAGAGACTCTGGGGAGGGGGTCTCCTTCAAGTTATCTGAGAGAGGGATCCTTGAACAGTGGGGTCCACTTCGCCCACCCCTCCCTCCCTTCCTGGAAGCCGAATCTCCTCCCCCTCTTTAAGCCCCAGACAAGCCAAGTCAGGCCATTGGTCAACCTGGAAACACCACGAACGCAACCCTAAAATTTCCCATACAATTTTCGATAAATTTTAACAAAATTTTAACAAAATTCTCAAAAAAACCTCTAATGCAAATTTTAAACAAAATACTCCGCGTCCGTGCTCATCACACGAAACTAAAAAAAATATTAATATTTTTTCTACAACAACTAAATTAATTACAATACTAAATCTAACCATATAAATTAAAATTTAACTAAAAAAAATACATTTTTTTATGGCAAACCCCCCTACCCCCTACCAATAATTTTTCATGTTTAATCAAATTTTTTTCTTGCCAAACCCCTAAAACGAGATTCAACTAAACTGTTTCCAGGTTGACTGATTAATTATCGGAGGGGGAAAAGGCAAGAATTTTCCCACTGCAGAGGAAGGACGGAATGAAAAATCCTCCTCCCAAACGGCTCTTTGTTTCTGGAATTCCTTTCACAAAGTAGCCAAACCCCTTTTCCATCTCCCATGTTTTCAGTTTTCAGTGTTATTTACCTTGCATGGTCAATGATTCCATAGACCATTCCAAAAATATGGATGGAGGTGCTATGGAAATATTTCAGCATTTATATATAATGTACATATTGAAATCATTTCATTATTTTTGTTTATTTTTTGTTTATTTTATTGCATGCTGAGATACAATCCATCAGCATCAAAAGGTAATAGAAGCCTGCACCTTCCCAGTCTGGGTTGCTTCAAGGTCAAAGGACTCATTATCATGATAGACAATACCTGTGGCTGGAGGCTCTACACAGAGACATGTGCATATTCAGGCCAAGGATTGCCAGTATTATAGGCAAGGTGTGTGAACTTGCCAAATTTATAAATGCTGAGTGTGAGAGAAAGTGAGTGGGTGGGATTATAGTATATACTATAAGGTAAAGGGACCCCTGACCATTAGGTCCAGTCATGGCCGACTCTGGGGTTGCAGCGCTCATCTCGCTTTACTGGCCGAGGGAGCTGGCATACAGCTTCTGGGTCATGTGGCCAGCATGACTAAGCCGCTTCTGGCGAACCAGAGCAGCGCACAGAAACGCCGTTTACCATATTTTTTGCCCTATAGGACACACTTTTCCCCCTCCAAAAATGAAGGGGAAATGTGTGTGCGTCCTATGCAGGCTTTCGCTGTTTTGCTATGCGAATGCAGGCTTTTGCTGAAGCCAGGAGAGCGAGGGGGGTTGGTGCGCACCAACCCCTCTCACTCTCCAGGCTTCAGGAAGCTATCCGCAAGCCTTGGGAGCCCGCGGGAGTTCCTGCTGGGCTCCCAAGGCTTGCGGACAGCAACCTGCAGCCCGAAACCCGGTGAGTGCAGCGGAGCGCACCCTGGGCTTCTGGCAGATATCCGCAAGCCTGGGGAGACCGGCGCCTGGGGGGAATAAATTTTTTTTCTTTATTCCCCCCCCCCAAAAAAAACCTACGTGCGCCCTATGGGCCAGTGCACCCTATAGGGCGAAAAATACGGTACCTTCCCGCCGGAGCGGTACCTATTTATCTACTTGCACTTTGACATGCTTTTGAACTGCTAGGTTGGCAGGAGCAGGGACCGAGCAATGGGAGCTCACCCTGTTGCGGGGATTTGAACCGCCGACCTTCTGATCGGCAAGTCCTAGGCTCTGTGGTTTAACCCACAGTGCCACCCGCGTCCCTAGTATATACATTAATGATGTCCATCCATAACTTTTCATGAGTTTATATTGTGATTCACTTGTGGCACATGCTCCAGTATTACTAATATACTTTGCTGTCCTTGCTTCAAAAGGTGAAAAGGTTTTAACATTTTAACTCTGCAAAGTTTGCAGAAGAAGTCACAGGTTAATGGCGGCACCAGACACTTTGCTGTCTTTGTGTCAGTGGATTAATACAGTAGTTTTGAATATTTCTACATTCACGTATGGCACCAATAACACTTCTGCTTTACTTATTCCATTTAGGAGAGACTCTGATATACAAGTCTCAACTCATTTCCTTCCTTGAGACACAAAGATACAGAAATGAAGGAGAGGCTGAGAGGCATTTCCCTTCAGTCTGCAGTGAGACTGTTTGTCTCCTTTCAGTGTGTAAGAACATATGAAGAGGCCTGCTGGGTCAGGATGATGACCCACCTTTGGCCTGTCAACTGCAATTTCGTCCATTTCCCCACGTTTCTGTGGAGAGACTTTGCCTCCAGTCCTGCCTTCCCTGCCCACTGCTAGGCAGTTCAGACGCAGTGATAACTGTGTCCCACTACTCCTCTCCATCCCACCAGGTTTCCATTATTCCCACCATATCATCTCCCATGTCTACAGGGTTTAAGGGAAGATTGCTACTGAGTTGTTTTTTATTGGGGGGGGGGGGTTGTCCAACAGTCTATTGCTACGGTTTATTAGATTTTTCAGTCACTTTCTCTTCCTCAGGTTGCAAAGTGACTTGCAACCAAACACGCACCAGCAAGATTAAGGATTAAAAGACGTGATCTTAGTGACCAGCCAAGATCTTCTTTGCCATGTTTTCTGTATTTTGGAAGGCAGAGAGAAGGCTGTTCTCAGGGCCTGCTCCACCATGAGGCGGACTGAGGTAGCCCCCTCAGGCAGCAGATGCAGAGAGGGGCAAGTGGACCGAGCTGAGTGCCATTTTGTGGTTGTTTAGTTGTTTAGTCGTGTCCGACTCTTTGTGACCCCCTGGACCAGAGCACGCCAGGCACTCCTGTCTTCCACTGCCTCCCACAGTTTGGTCAGACTCATGCTGGTAGCTTCGAAAACACTGTCCAACCATCTCATCCTCTGTCGTCCCCTTCTTGTGCCCTCGATCTTCTTGTGCCATTTGGCCTGCCCTAATTTAACCTTTAATTTACCTTTACCTTTAATTTAACCTACTGTCCTCTCATCCAGTGGAAGGTGCTGTCCCATTGCCAGTGCCCTAGGCACAATGGAGCAGCCTTGGAAAGTAAATGGTGCAGGATTAGGGAATGTGTGCAGTTGATTGCAAGATTTTGGAAGGATATTACAGATCATGGAGGAAGGAGGGTAATGGATTTCCAGTGGAGGGGAAAGGTGACAATGCTATGTCCCTCCAGATGTTGCTGCAGTACAACTCGCATCATTGCTGGCCATAGGCCATCCTTGCTTGGGTTGATGGTAAAGGTAAGGTAAAGGGAGCCCTGACCATTAGGTCCAGTCGTGACCGACTCTGGGGTTGCGGCGCTCATCTCGCTTTATTGGCCGAGGGAGCGGGCATACAGCTTCCGGGTCATGTGGCCAGCATGACTAATCAGGGATTCAAACCACCAACCTTCTTGTCAGCAAGTCCTAGGCTCTGTGGTTTAACCCATAGCACCACCTGCGTCCCTCTGGGTTGATGGTACTTTGAGTCTAACCACATCAGGAGGGCCAGAGGTGCCCCACCTTATCATAGAAGTTTTCTTTTGGTGCTCAGTGTTAATGGGAAGTTCAAGGTGGAAGTGGATACTAAGGGTCCTTGAGACAATTTCCCAGAGCGTATTATGGATATTTATTTAAAAAGACAATCCAACAGTGTAACTGTATTCTAAGATCATGTGGCTTTACTGATAATGATTGAGGATCAGGAAAGTTTGAAGAGATTTTACCATTATTTCATTTCATTTCCTAAGAAATCAGACCGATGTGTGTTATATTCCTTTATTCTCTTTCTTGAAACCCTAACAGGAATTTTGTTACACTTCCACCACCTCTGAAGCAATGGGAAAAGACAGAATTCTGTGAGCACACTTAGTTCATATCCCTGAACTCACACAGAAGCGAAACCACGAGGGATGGAGTGCGGAAAGAGTTTCACTGATTGTGGAACACTCAGAAAACACCAGAAAACTAATACAGGAGGAAAACAGTTTGAATGTATGGTGTGTGAAAAAAAACTTCACTCGGAATGAAAGCCTTGTCACACATCAATGAACTTACACAGGAGAGAAACCATTTCAATGTGTGGAGTGTGGAAAGCGCTTCAGTCGGAGTGGAAGCCTTAATTTACATCAACGGACTCACACAGGTGAGAAACCATATGAATGTATGCAGTGTGGAAAGAATTTCAGTCGCAGTGAAGGCCTTAATTTACATCAACAAACTCACACAGGTGAGAAAACTTTTAAATGTATGGAGTGTGGAAAGAGCTTCAGTAGGCATGGAAATCTTAATATACACCAGCAAACTCACACAGGGAAGAAACCCTTTAAATGCATGGAATGTGGAAAGAGTTTCCATCACAGGGGAAACCTTAATACACACCAAAAAACTCACACAGGGGAAAAACCCTTTAAATGTATGGAGTGTGGAAAGAGATTTAGTCACAGTGGAAATCTTAATACACATCAACGAACTCACACAGGGGAGAAACCATATAAATGTATAGAGTGTGGAAAGTTATTCAGTGAGAGTGGAAGACTTCATATACATCTACGAACTCACAGAGGGGAGAAACCATATACATGTATGGCATGTGGAATGAGCTTCAGTCGAAGAGAAAACCTTAATTTACATCAACGAACTCACACAAGGGAGAGACCATATAAATGTATGGAGTGTGGAAAGAGCTTCAGTCAGATTGGAAACCTTAATAAGCATCAACAAATTCACACCGGAGAGAGACCATTTAAATGTATGGAATGTGGGAAGAGCTTCACTGTAAGGAAAAACCTTAGAAAACATGAGCAAACTCACAAAGAAGAGAGACCATTTAAATGTATGGAGTGTGGAAAGAGCTTCCGTCTGAGCAGAATGCTAGTAATTCATAAACAAACTCACACAGAGGAGAAACCTTTTAAATGTGTGGAGTGTGGAAAGAGCTACAGTCAGAGTGGAAGCCTTAAGAAACATCAACAAACTCACACAGGGAATAAACCTTTTAAATGTTTGGAGTGTGGAAAGAACTTCAGTCAGAGTTCACACCTTACTTTGCATCGTCGGACTCACACGGGTGAGAAACCATATAAATGTATGGAGTGTGGAAAGAGCTTCAGTCAGAGTGGAAACTTTAATAAACATCTGCCAACCCATACTGGGGAGAAACCATTTAAATGTATGGACTGTGGAAAGCGCTTTTGTCGGAATGAAAGCCTTACTTTACATCTACGAACCCACTTGGGTGAGAAACCATATAATTGTATGCAGTGCGGAAAGAGCTTCAGTCAGAGCGGAAACCTTAATAAACATCTACAAACCCATACTGGGGAGAAACCATTTAAATGTATGGAGTGTGGAAAGAGCTTCATTAAGAGTAGAAGCCTTAAAAACCATCAACAAACCCACAGTGGAGAAACTGTTTAAACTGAAGGAGTGTGGAAAGTGCTTCAGCTGTAATGGAGCACTTACATTCAGTGGAAAAACCATGTATGGAGTGCATAAATTGTTTCTCTCAGAGTTCACTCCTTCAGATCAGCAAATTCATATGGGGGCAATCAGTTGCAGATGCTTCGGGCGTGTATGATGTTCTGGTTTTTGTAAAGTTGTATAGACATGTTTTTAAGGAGTGAACTCGCAGTAATAAGTATAATTTAAGATTCATGTACTGTTAGATAGGGAGGGGGAGAGCAAATCTGTAATGCTGGTGGTCGGGGTCAGCCGAATTTTGATCTAGAGAGCTAGAAATGTCAGATCACTTCCTGTTGAGATTCAGACTTTCGGCACATAGTCCATCCTTGAAGGCTATTTGATTTAATGGGCTTCCGAGGGGATTTTCCAGTTGATATGACTGGTGCTACCATCAAGTCAGTTTACAAGTCAGTTTTTATTTACAAACTCTTTTGCCGAAACATCTAGATCCTTTTCACGTGTACTACAGGTAATCAAGTGTCCCGCAACTTAAATTTGTGCAGCTGGATATTCCTTCCTTGGTGTTGAACCTGATGTTTGTCCCTCCTGATAAACCTTTAGTTAAATTTGGCCCAGTTCTCCGTTAAGTTATTCTCTGTTATTGTCATCTTGAATCCCAATTCTCTCTTCTCCAGCAATAGCTAACGTTTCCAGTTTGGCATAATCTGTTTATAAGCTTTATATAATTCTTCAGAGACGCCCCCTGCAAAGCTTAGTTTGTGCATTGGGATCTTCCCTACAGGCGCAAAGAAATCATTTAGCTTCTCCTAAATCTCTTTACAAGTAACTTCAAGTGTGTTTTTTATAAAATGTTTTCGTTAAAAGATTTTCTTGGGGATCAACAAAACATGCGGGGCTCTCCTTTTTCCAAGTCAGAGTGAGGCAAAAGAGAGGAGTGAAGTGAGAGGGTAGGAAGGGGGGGAGAGAGAGAGACAGTAATTTTTCATTATTTTGCATAGTATTGTTACCGGAAAATCCGAGGGCTCCCTTGGACGAAATCAAGACACCAACCAGGGCAAATCAGAGCTTCAACTTTAGCCAATTCTAATCTTAGCCTCATCATTTGTAATTCAGTACAGTGGTACCTCAGGTTAAGAACTTAATTCGTTCTGGAGGTCCGTTCTTAACCTGAAACTGTTCTTAACCTGAAGCACCACTTTAGTTAATGGGGCCTCCTGCTGCTGCTGCAGCACTATTTCTGTTCTCATTCTGAAGCAAAGTTCTTAACCCGAGGTACTATTTCTGGGTTAGCGGAGTCTGTAACCTGAAGCATATGTAACCCGAGGTACCACTGTATTAGATACAGCAGCTGGGTCATCCCAATTCTCTTTTGCTTGGTGCTTGCTGGCCATTTTCTGACAGATTTTTTTTCTTTTTTTAATAAAATATCCTCAATACTTTGTCAAACTAGATGTTCTGTATCTCTGGGTACATTTCTGTGTGGGTTTTAACTTCGTATCATGGCGCTTCCACCAATTAATATGTGATGGCGCTTCAACCCTTTCTCCTCTTTCACTCACAGAAAAACAGTCCCACAAATTCCCACAAACTGCCCCAGATTATGTTGTGGGGGACTTGTGTGAGGGAAGACTTAGTAATTTGGAGTCTCAGGCAGGATTTGATCAAATAAACAATAAATATTTTATTTAACAGAGGTAGTTTATGAGGGTCCTGACTTTCTTTCTTCACAGTCCCCTGTGCGGTTTACACAACCTCCCCAAACCTGCAACACCCCACTTTGCACCAGATGATAGACTCTGGGGAAAGGGACATTGCATCAGCCATCGGAAATGAGACACCAAATTCAACCACATTGCAAGGAGAAAATCCACTCGGGCTGCCAAGTAATACAGGAGTCTTGGGGGGATGGGGACGGGGGACACTCTTGGTGGTTGTTGTGTGTGTCCGGTTGCACATTTAAATATTATTTCTCCCTCCTCAAGAAAATGAATCCTGACTACGGTAGTTTGTGAAGGCTGCTGGGAATTGTAGCTCTGTGGTGGGTAAACTACAGTTCTCAATATTCTTTTGTAATTAACGAAAATCTGCCCTTATTCCCTTATGGGGGACACAAGAGCCCTTATAGAGTCCTTTGCAGGTTCTCCATCGGTCGGAGAAAATAACAGAGGCCAACCAGAGAATATTGAGAAGCAAAGCAGCTCGTAAGCCTGGTCTTTATTGAACTGTTGCAACAGGGTGTCCCCTTCACACGCAGGAGAAGGAGGAGGACCCAGAACCAAGGTGTACCTGCTCTTATATAGACATTTTAAATTGCCAGCCCTGGAGTCCCAGACACATCATACCTACATCACAGAAGGGGTGTAGCTCAAGACACCCCCCCAGATACATCATACCTACATCACAGAAAGGGCGGTCTACAACAGAAATCTGAGTGCATTCTTTACCTCCTGTCTGACAGGTTATATGTTAATGCTTACTTGATTGGATACCCTGGGGAGCCTGGCCAGTCTTCTGTAATGATGAATACAGTGGTACCCCGCAAGACGAACGCCTCGCAAGACGGAAAACCCGCTAGACGAAAGGGTTTTCCGTTTTGGAGGCGCTTCGCAAAACGAATTTCCCTATGGGCTTGCTTCGCAAGACGAAAGCCCATAGGGAAATCTCCGGGACAGCGGGGAAGCGCAGCGCGTCTTCCCCACTGTCCTCGGACCTCCTCCGAAGCCTGGCGGCGGGGCGGAGAGACCTCTTCCCGCCGCCAGGCTTCGGAAGGATGCTCCGAAGCTAAAGAAGCTAAAGCAGCCTGCCGCGACCCTCTCCCGGCTGGAGAGGTGACGCGCGCCTATGGCAGGAGCCTCCATAGCCGAGCGTCACCTCTCCAGCCGGGAGAGCGCGCGCGGGGCTAAAGCAGCCCCCTGCGACCCTCGCCCAGGTGACGCGCGCCTATGGCAGGAGCCTCCATAGCCGAGCGTCACCTCTCCAGCCGGGAGAGCGCGCGCGGGGCTAAAGCAGCCCCCCGCGACCCTCTCCCAGGTGACGCGGGCCTATGGCAGGAGCCTCCATAGGCGCGCGTCACCTATCCAGCCGGGAGAGCGCGCGCAGGGCTAAAGCAGCCCCCCGCGACCCTCTCCCAGGTGACGCGCGCCTATGTCAGGAGCCTCCATAGCCGAGCGTCACCTCTCCAACCGGGAGAGCGCGCGCGGGGCTAAAGAAACCCCCCGCGACCCTCTCCCGGCTGGAGATGTGACGCGCGCCTATGGCAGGAACCTCCATAGGCGCCCGTCACCTCTCCAGCCGGGAGAGCGCGCGCGGGGCTAAACCAGCCCCCCGCGACCCTCTCCCAGCTGGAGAAGTGACGCGCGCCTATGGCAGGAGCCTCCATAGGCGCCCGTCACCTCTCCAGCCGGGAGAGCGCGCGCGGGGCTAAAGCAGCCCCCCGCGACCCTCTCCCAGGTGACGCGCGCCTATGGCAGGAGCCTCCATAGCCGAGCGTCACCTCTCCAGCCGGAGAGCGCGCGGGGCTAAAGAAGCCATAGCCCGCGACCCTCTCCCAGCTGGAGAAGTGACGCGTGACTATGGCAGCAGCCTCTGAAGGATGCACCGAAGCCTGGCGTGGGGGGGGGGGCGGAGAGACCTTCTCCCCGCGCCAACCTTCGGATGGCTGTCCTGAAGACTTGGGGTGGGAGAAGGGTTTTCCTTCCCACCGCCAACATTCAGAATGCTGTTCTGAATGTTGGTGGTGGGGAGGAAAAACCCTCCTCCCACGCAAGCCCCGGGAACAGAGGGAAAGCGCTGCGCGCCTTCCCCTCTGTTCCCGTACCTGTGCTGAAGGCTTGAGGTGGGGAGAAAAGCCCTTCTCCGCACCGCCAGCCTGGCAAGCGGTTTCCCTAGGAACGCATTAATTGATTTTCAATGCATTCCTATGGGAAACCGTGCATCGCAAGACGAAAAAACTCGCAAGAAAGAAAAAACTTGCGGAACGAATTAATTTCGTCTTGCGAGGCACCACTGTACTTAGTTCCTGAGCCTATTCATACACAGACATACCCTTAAGACAGGATTTGTGAGGAAAAGACAATGAGGAGGCTTTTCCATTTTCCTTTGCAGAAAATTCATTTGGACAGTTTGGGAGTCAAAATGGTTTCAGGGCTG